CTCTGCATATCTGCAGGACTGATTGGGATAGATTGTAGGGGGTGACGCCGGAATATAATTTTATCATGGGTAAAGGTTATCTTTGCACATAAGTGCTAATTGTTCTCGACTCTAGGGGTGGTGCTCATCTCCATTTCAAAGCCAAAGAACCAGCGCTGTCCGAAGACGTCTCCATGGTCATGTGGCCGGCATGACTAAACCCCGAAGGCGCACAGAACGCTGCTACTTTCCCACCAAAGGTGGTCCCTATTTTTCTACTTGCATTTTTAATGTGCTTTTGAACTGCTAGGTTGGCAGAAGCTGGGACAAGTAACGGGAGCTCACTCCTTTACGCGGCACTAGGGATTCAAACCGCTGAACTGCCAACCTTTCTGATCGACAAGCTCAGTGTCTTAGCCACTGAGCCACCCGCGAGTCCCTTTTATCATATTTTATCTATATTTTAAATTACTGTATTTCATTCCATTTTCGTCTTAGATTGCATTTTATTCCAATTCCATTTTAAAATCGTATTTTATCCAACTCCATTTTAAATAACTTTTATCAAATTTCAGTAATAATTGGTGTCCGGAACTCTACCCTTTGACATGGCACAAGGGCTAATCAATCAAAAATAATCATATGCACAGGCCATACCTTGGGGGCAGGGCTGCCAGGTCCAGTGGCGCGGCGGCTGCGACTCCCCGATGAAGCTTTTTGACTTGTCGCTTTGCTCCCTGGGCTGTGACACCGCAACCTCCTTCCTGAAGACGGAGTGGAGACGGGTTCCTGGCGAAGACAGCGGGGGGGAAAGCCCATCAGTCCCCAACTGTATGAAGATTTTGTGAAAGAACCCCACAACCATTGGCCACAAGGCCTAAGCACACCGCTCACTCCCTGGAGGGGGACCCCTGCCTAAAGGCAGCTCACGAGGCCTGAGCAGTCGCACAATCTAATGACAGATGTCCCTGCTCAACAACCCCCAAGTTTGTTGGCTTCACAAAACCAAGACTAACCAGGTTGCATTCATTCCCAGGCTTCTAGAATCCGTTTTTACCGACAGATATTTTAACCTAGACCTGCCAGCTTGCCGATTTTCCAGACTCAGCTTATGCAGCAGTGTAAAGGAAGTCCTCGACTCAACAGTAGATTTAGTGAATGAAGTTACAACGGCAATGAAAAAAGTGACTTACGGTCGTTTTTCGCACTTAACAACCTTTGCAGCCACCCCATGGTTACGTGACACAAAGTTCAAATGCTTGGCCCCTGACTCGTACTTATGACAGTTGCAGGGTCCTGATCCTCGTATTTATGATGGTTGCAGGGACCTTCTGACCAGCAGAGTCAACGGGAGAATGCCAGATTCACTTAACGGCCGTGTTACCAGTTTAACAACCGCCGTGATTGACTTAACAACTGTGGCAAGAAAAGTTGGGCGAAACTCGCTTAGCAACTAAGGTGTTGGGCTCAGTTGTGGTGATAAGTCGAGGACCACCTGTTCTAATTGATCAAAATAGGTGCATCAGCTGGGAATTGTGGGGGCTGCTGTCACAAGACATCAGGGAAGGCAGAAAGTTAGGGACGGATGCTCCCCATTGGCTCAGAAAACTCTGGAGACCCTCCCATTTAAGATGACTGACTGGCAGGAGTCTGTTAGGTGTGCCTAAGGCTGCTTACGACACTTGTGGCCTTCAAGGCTGGGTTTGAATGGGAAAGGATGTGTGGAAGAGCAGCACCATCCACCAGTGTAAGCCAGGGATCTCCAACCTTAGCAACTTTAAGCCTGGCAGACTTCAACTCCCAGAATTCCCCAGCCAGCTGGTTGGAGAATTCTGGGAGTTGAAGTCCTCCAGGCTTAAAGTTGCAGAGGTTGGAGACTCTTGATCTAAGCAGTTATAGATGTACGAGACCTAGAGAGGGAGGTGGTCCTTCTAATGATTCAATTAAGGATCTGTTGCCCGGAAAAGGGGAGAAAGCTTTCTTAGAGCAGCTTCTCCTTCCTCTCTTTGGATATTCACCTGCGCAGGCTTGGCGTCTTTCCCAGAATCCTTTGGGCTTGGGGTGCTCACGGAAGCGCTGCTGCTACTGCTGGAGAGCTTGCTGGCCCGAGTCCTTGGATGCTCCCTCTGTCCTTCTAGCCCACGGTCTGGAGCAGGAGCCCCCCTGACCCGTTTTGTGGGCTCCCTGGCCCCGGGGTTGCTGCCAGATACAGCTTTCGCCACTTCTGTAACTTTCCTGGCGGCTGTGGATTCCCTCTGTGAGCTCCTCGTTCGACCTTGAGGGATGGGAGCAGCGTTCAGGTCTTCATTCCTGGCCTTCTTCCTGGGGCCCTCTTCTTCTTCAGGCTGTTGTGGCCTCTCCTTCACTATCCTCATTCGTTGACTTGCGTTGCTGAGCTGCCGCAGCCCCCTACGCCTGGTCTCTGGAGCAGCCGGGGTACTGGATGCAATCACAGCCCCAGATCCGTGACGGCGGAGGCTTCGTCTTTCTGGGACAGGGGTGGGTGAAGGGGAAGTGGTGGAAGATCGCAGATTGCGCCGCAACTCACGGGCGGGGGGCGTTGTTGAAACCGGATCCTCCTGGGTTGGCACCAACACCTAAGGGTATCAAATGGAGCTCAGGCATTATGCCAAACCATGATTCGGTTAATCAGATGGGGGGGCTGCACAAACCACAATTTGCTGAGTTCTCATAACAAACCGCAATTTACCAATCACGGTTATCCTGCTCTACCCCATGAGATAAGAAAAAGGTGAAGGTTAAGCTTCACCAAATCAGTCCTGGGTTCATGAAGGATGCCAGTCACCCTCAGTCCAACCCACTTCACAAGGTTGTTGTTGTGGGGAAAAGAGGGGAAGAGAGTAGCATTAGGTATGTCCACTGCCTTGAGGTATTTATAAAATAACTCATTTATTATCTATCTATCTATCTATCATCTATCTATCTATCTATCTATCTATCTATCTATCTATCTATCTATCTATCTATCTATCTATCTATCTATCTAAATGGCTGTGTGTGTGTCTGTGTGTGTATGTTCCAGCATTAACTCTGGAACGCCTCAAGCAATTTCAACCAAACTTGACTTACTCTCTGGAAAAAAATACTGTGAAGGGTAAGACACCTTGAANAATTTCCTGACAGTTAGAACAATTAATCAGTGGAACAGCTTACCTCTAGAAGTTGTGAATGCCCCAACACTGGAAGTCTTTAAGAAGATGTTGGAAAACCATTTGACTGAAATGGTATAGGGTTCCCTGCCTAAGCAGGGGGTTGAACTAGAAGACCTCCAAGGTCCTTTCCAACTCAGCTATATTCTATTCTATTCTATAAATTGAATAAATAAATAAATAACAACAGTAGCAATCGCTTTACCACTATGGTATTTGCTTACTGACTACTACTGGGTGGGGGTGGGGGGGGGGTGTTTGTCATAAAATCAGATCCAGTCACATGATGACAAACCATTCTGATTCATGACTGTGACTGCCAGGCTCAATGATGGTTTGGGACCACCTGTACACAACTAATGAAAAGAGCATCTGGAGCATGCAGGCCTGGGGAATCAAATTCCTGTTCCTGTCCTCAAACCTACAACTTACAATAGCAGAGTTGGAAGGGACCTTGGAGGTCTTCCTAGGCAGGAAACCCTATACCGTTTCAGACAAATGGCTATCCAATATCTTCTTACAGACTTCCAGTGTTGGAGCATTCACAACTTCTGGAGGCAAGCTGTTCCACTGATTAATTGTTCTAACTGTCAGGAAATTTCTCCTCAGTTCCAAGTTGCTTCTCTCATTGATTAGTTTCCAACAGATTCTCAAGAACTGTGAGGACAAGAGAAGCCAAAAAGAAATCTGGAGAAGTCCTGAATAAATGTGGAGAAGACCGAAAGAAACTTTGGCCCTGGAAGAAGAATATAATTCTCCAGTTTAAAAACAATCTACACCTGATTGAGAGCAGAGACGAGCAGTTTCCAAATCCAGGGGTCGCAAAAGCTCTAAAGTTCTACTTAACGGTGTTTTAAAAACACCAATGAAACAGAAATAAAACCTCCCCCTTTCTGAGCAAAAGAAAATATTTGGGATTTTGGATACTTGACTAAGGTACCCGGGCCTGCGACTCAAAATGTTGTGAAGGGACCCTTTGCTTGGCTTCCCTATTAGCAGATCAATCTCACAACTGCTGTTTTATTTTTGTTCGTTTGTTTGTATGTTTTTATTTTATGGGTGTTTTTGATTGTTTTACTATCTTTTCAATTGTTTTAAAATTTTAGACTTGTAAACCGCCCAAGAATCACTTGAATGGGGGAGGCCATAGAAACTGGGGGAAAAAATTTCAAAAGCAGAATTTGGAGCCTTTGCCATTTGCAACATAGCCTGTTGGTGTCACCCTAAATGTAAACCGCAGCCTCTGGGAGTCAGTGTTTCTTAACCTCGGCGATTTGAAAGAGAGGTAAACTTCAACTCCCAGAATTCCAGGAATCAGGAATTCTGGGATTTGAAGTCCATACACCTCTCCAAGTTGTCAAGGTGGAGAAACACTGCTCTCACTCGTCTAAGTTTTCTCACCTCTTATTCAGAGCTGAGGGAGCAGCGCGGTGGCTCAGCATTTAAGATGCTGGGCTTATCAGGTGGAAAGTCAGCAGCCCAGGTTCAAGACCCAAGCTTGACCCAATAGGATGAGCTCCCTTCCACTCCCCAGCTCCTCCAACCTAGCAGTTCAAAAGCCTACAAAATGCAAGTAGATAAATAGGTACCCTTTCGGTGGGAAAGTAACAGCGCTCCGTGATGTCATGCTAGCCACATGACCACAGAAATGTCTTCAGACAGCGATGGCTCAATGGCATTGAAATAGAGATGAGCACTGCCTTCTATAGTTGGCAAAGATTAACAAAGTAAAATCTGCAGGGATTTCTTTTTCAGACCCAAACACAAACGGTATTTGTGTAAGTTAAGGGTAGGTAGGTAGGTAGGTAGGNATCTATCTATCTATCTATCTATCTATCTATCTATCTATCTATCTATCTATCTATCTATCTATCTATCTATCTAAATGGCTGTGTGTGTGTCTGTGTGTGTATGTTCCAGCATTAACTCTGGAACGCCTCAAGCAATTTCAACCAAACTTGACTTACTCTCTGGAAAAAAATACTGTGAAGGGTAAGACACCTTGAACACCCCTCAGAGTGTGTGTTCTGTTAAGATACAGCCTATTGTGCCTTAAAAAGGCTTCTACTGTACAGCACAGTGGAGTTGCCATGGTAACAGCTTCACTGTACTCCACAAGAGGGCTCACTCTGGTAAGGGGGAAAATCCAACATTAGAAATTGTACATTTGTGAATGTCTAATACAGGATTGGGAAAAACAAATACCTGGGCAACGGCAGGTTAACAACTACTTATCTATATAATACATTTATATATTTATTATCATCATCATTTATCCACTGCCTATCCACTGTAGGATGAAGGCCTTTTCCGTATGTTTCCGACCAATACAATCTTGAGCTTTTTTTTTTGCCAAGTGGACCCACAATACTTACTGATGTATGTATGTATGCCATGTATTAACAAATAATTAACTAGAGTGCAGTACTGCCAGGCTACTTCTGCTGACTGCAATTTGGCAGTTCAAATCTCACCAGGCTAAAGTTGACTCAGCCCTCCATCCTTCCGAGGTCGGTAAAAGGAGGACCCAGATTGTTGGGGCCAATAGGCTGACTCTGTCAATCACTTTGAGAGCGCTGTTAAAGCATTGTGAAGTGATGTATAAGTCTATGTGCTATTGCTATGTTTAATAGGCATATGATATATTTATATATATATATATTTATTATTTATAAAAATAATAAAGGCGGCATATTAAATAAATAAAGGCGAATCTGATGCTTACCTTCTTAGTATTCCTTGTTTCTCTTACTAATTCTGAGTTTTCTTCCACACCGTCACCCACAGGAGCTAGAAAAAGCCAAAGGATGGAAACAGCCTGGATTGAAAAACACCATTTCACTTTTTTTGCCACCAGGGAGCAAAGCAGAGATACGGACTTATTAGTATAACGCAGGCTGCGCTCCCTACCTCACATAAACCGTTGGGAAATGTAACTATATTCCTCACCAAGATATTATAAGAATGGCTTCAGGCTAGAGTTTTTGGCTTATGACTGGTTACTTAGCAACCATTCAAAGTTACAATGGACACCCCCCTCCAAAAAAAAAGCTATTTATGATATAAGGTGCTGAAGTTACAATGTTCACCCCCGCTCCAGTCACAGGACCCCATTTTGAGCGGCCGGCAACTGGCCTGTATTTACAATGGTTTTTTTCCAGTTTCCGTCCCATAGCAAACAATAGATTCACTTAACGACCAGATCCTTCACTCCGTGGTGGCCCTTTCTTTCTGGAACATCAACACCCCCCCACCCCAAGATTAGAACAGCCCCCACTCTAATACTCTTCTGGAAGACCTGGTTCTGCCAGCGGGCCTAGGGAATCCAGAGCGGGATGGAGCCCATTAAATGGCTCATGTGATCTGCAGTCACCGGGGGGGGGGGGGATTTTGTTATATTTTACTATATTAATTTATTTGATTCTTTTTGTTCGTTTTTATTGTTTTAAATGTGATATTATATTCTGCCTTCAGTCACCATGGGTGAATAGCCGGCAATATAAGGCCAAACTTGGAATACTGCATTCAGTTTTGGTCGCCACGACGTAGAAAAGATGTGGAGACTCTAGAAAGAGTGCAGAGAAGAGCAACAAAGAGGATTAGGGGACTGGAGACTAAAACATATGAAGAACGGTTGCAGGAACTGGGTATGTCTAGTTTAATGAAAAGAAGGACTAGGGGAGACATGATAGNTCTGCCTCACTGATGTCTGACTCTGAAGGCATCTGATAACTGGCATACGGCTCTGGCCCCCTCTCTGCCTCCGACGCAGAGCCCTCATCAGAGCCTTCCCCAGACTCCAGGACTGGCCCATGTTCCTCCCCAACCTCCTCACTGTCCGAATCTGCTGCCAGTTCTGCTGGCGGGCCACAACACTTAACCTTTAATCCACGGGTGTCAAACTAGATCGCGTAACGGGCAGGATCATGACATATCGTGACGTTTTTTGCCTTTGCAGAGCCAGAGTGGGCATGGCCTGCATGGGACTTACCCGGCCCGCAAGCTGCCAGTTTAACAGGCCTGCCTTAATCAATGGGGCCTTGTCTGTAGTCCTGCTGTTGCGCTCTTAGCTGTCAGAGGCTCCTAGGTTTTTCTCTATTGGAGGATATTTAAATGAAAGCGCAGCTAGTCCTCAAATTATGACCACAATTGAGCCCAAAATTAAAGTTGCTAAGGGAAAAATTTGTTAAGTGAATTTTGCCCCAGCTCACAACTATTCTCCCTACATTTGTTAACTGAATTAACTGAAATAGTAACACAGTTATTAAGTGAATGTGGTTCCCCCTTTTGACTTTCCTTGTGAAAAGGTCGTAAAAGGGGATCACGTGTCCCCAGGATGCTGCAACTGTCATAAATGTGAGTCAGTTGTCAAGCATCCGAATGTAAATCACGTGATCACAGGATGGTGTAACAGTTGTAAGTGTGAAAAATGGTTGACTTAGCCTTCCATCCTTCCAAAGTGGGGAAAAGGAGAAATACGCTGACTCTGTAAACCGCTTAGAGAACATTGAAAAGTACTGTGAAGCAGTTAGGGTATATCCCGTATTTTTCCACGTATAAGACGCATCAGAGTATAAGATGCAGCAAGGTTTTAAAGAGGCAAATTAAAAAAAAAGTTTTTGCACTCTGCAAATCTCCCCAAAACAGCCTGTTTTTCGCAATAACAGGTGTGTTTTTTTAAAGGGCATGAATAGCTCTTAGGAGGCTTGTAGAATTTTCCGGGGGGGGGCTGTTTTTTGTGAAAACAGGCCCATTTTTTGCCAAAAACGAAGGGCATTAGGAAGCTTATAGAGTGCTCCTGGGGGCTGGGGGGACAAAATTGAGCAAAGAACAGCCCATTTTTTGCTCATTTCTGCCCTCCCCAGCCCCCGGGAGCTCTCTGAAAGCTTCCTGCAAGCTATGCACAGACATTTTGGTGAAGGGGCGGGGTTTCTGGAGGTAAAAAAAATGCTGTATTCAGTGTATAAGACGCACCCAGATTTTCAGCCTCTTTTTGAGGGAAAAAGGTGCATCTTACACTCTGAAAAATATGGTAAGTGCTACTGCTATTAACGATTGGCATGACATGTGACCATAATTCCGGGTATCAGAAAAGGGAATTACCTTCTCCAGCCAATCAAGCGTCACAATGGGGATTCCCCGAGCCAGGGCGCACAAGAACTTGACGGTGCGGCGTACGCGGTCCGTCACAAGGTGAGTGCAGTCAAAGACAGATTCCGCCAAAGTACCCCCCAACTCGGCCACTACCCGCTCTCCTTCCTCATCAATTACACCTGTGAACAGCACCTGAAAAGAGAAGAGGGAGGAGATTCAACAAACTTTTCAGGCTAATGATGGAGTCAACGCAGCTCAAGTGGCCCTATTCCCTTCTCCAGCTCCAACCCCTCCCTCCTCTGCTATGCACAGTACAGCACAGTACTTAAGCAAAATGGTTCGGTTGAGCTCTGCATATCTGCAGGACTGATTGGGATAGATTGTAGGGGGTGACGCCGGAATATAATTTTATCATGGGTAAAGGTTATCTTTGCACATAAGTGCTAATTGTTCTCGACTCTAGGGGTGGTGCTCATCTCCATTTCAAAGCCAAAGAACCAGCGCTGTCCGAAGACGTCTCCATGGTCATGTGGCCGGCATGACTAAAC